TGTGTCAGTCTTTCAGATTTTAGATCCTCCTCAGCTCTAGTCTCATGTGGGGTACCACAGAGATCAATACTTGGACATCTGCTTTTCTCCCTTTTTTTTAGAAGGCCAAAAATTGCTTTCCATTAATATGCAGATGATACGCAGGTTTATATGCCCCTAAAAAAGACAAATGACCACTACATGCAAGCGCTAAATGACTGTCTTGAGGAAGTGAAAGCTTGGTTGGCTCTTTGGGTCAGGTGTCACTGGTGGCTTCTTTCCTGTGGACATCGGCCCTCTAGCACATCTTGTCAAAAGATGATTTCAGAACAGTAATCCATGCTAAGTAATCCATCCGACTGGATTACTGTAACTCATGGTACCTTGGTATTAGCCAGTCATCCTTGTCACGTCTTCAGCTGGTACATGTTGAAGGGAGCATATTACTCATATTTTATCCTCACTAGACTGGCTGCCTTTCCATTTTAGAGTTCATTCTAAAATTCTTGTATTTGTTTTTTCTCACTATCTCTCTGAGCTACAGCACCTGCACACCCCCTCATGGTCTCTTCGATCAGCTGAGCAGTTGTTATTGGATATGGCAAAGACGCATCAGAAGCACCGGGGGATCGGGCTTTCACAGTTGCGTCTCCCAAATTGTGGAACGCACTGACATTACAAATTAGAAAGGCCTCCTCAAGCGATCAAAGATCCACCTTTTCAGTTTGTCTTTTAACCCAGTATAGAAATGTTAAATTTATTTGGATGTTATTTTTGTTGTTAGTGTTCTGTTTGTTTACTGTTTTTTTGTATTTTTAGTATTTATATTTATTTTGATATTTTTTCTTATTTTAATGTTCAGCACTTTGGTCAGTGCTCGCTGTTTTTAAAGTACATTATAGAGGCACTTTAAGAGGGGCAGAGGCAGGATTTAGTGCAGATGAACTTTTGTTATTTTTATTTACCAAAGTGAAAACAGGTGAATAAGTGTTACACTACAAATCCACCCCTGCATTAAAATCCACACTTCTCCGGAATACATTGCATAACATAATATTATTTTCGGTTAATATTGTCTTTTTATCTTGTAGCATCTGTCCATCACAAACGTAGCTGCCTGGAAGACCGATCCACAGCAATCAGTAAAATGCTCAGTAAATAATTTATATTTAAGGGTTTTCATGTGCAAGTTTATGCTTCATAATGTTTTTTTTCTGTCATTAATTTCTATAATCTTCTCATATAATGTGAAACTAAACTGTTTTTGCTTTTCTCCACCAACCTTCAAGTGCTCAACATAAACGCCACGCCTCTGCGGTGCTGGAGGGAATTTAAAACGACCGCTTCCTTTTCCGCTTAGCCGAGAGCTCCGGCAGGTAGACGGCGGCAGGTAGAGTTTGGATAAAATACAATAACACAAGCCAGTGTAGCTTACAAATGACATGACGCTCCTTCCGAGACACCCCCGCTTCATTAATAACCAGGCTCAAGAAAACCGTGTCCAGATGTGAGTTCATTTTAGGTATGTACGAAGTACTGCACCCATCATTAAAGGTTCAATGAACACCAAAAAAACAAGTCCGGAGTAATAAGCAATATAGTGAATGACGCAGTAGGTCAGTTAAGTGGGTTTAGTTTTATGTGAAGTTAAGTCTATCAGTTTTATTGCTGAGGAAAGTAGCATTTAATACCTTTAATCCACATTTCTATTCATATAATCTAATTTAAAATGAAAACAAAATATAAAAATTATTAACCAGAAAAAATATTTTCATAACCAAATGTGTTATGTATTGCAAAATTGATAGATAGACAAGCTGGCTTTTATAAGCTAACGTTAGCTGAAAACACGTCCATGTAAAGTAATAGATGCCTCCACT